TTGTTACAGACATTAAATAAAGCAACCACTTTCTAGAGCAAGTTCATTCAATTTAATTTGATTTGATGTCTGACTAAAAACAAGTGATTATTTACTAGAATTTAGTGATTATTTTCTTTGAAAAACTTTGCGATGCCTTGTGTTCTTCTCAAGTTTAAAAAATATATACCAAAATAACAATACTTTCATGTATGAATGTAATTCAATTTTTAATAATGATGTAGTTGAATGGTTGAAACAACCATACAGCAACAACCACACATCTTGAATGAAAATTGGCCCATGCAAGGCAGCAAGGTAGTTTTGTTGAATGAGAAGTTTCTAAAAAAGACGCAATATTCAATTAAATGATCTTATTGAGTTGAAGAAGTGGTCTCTGTTGTGTAGTCACATTAAATAATATTTAATGTGCTTGGGAGTTGAATACATTGCTTATATAATGGACCTAAACAATCAGCACATGGGTGAAGTCCATGCTTTAATATGCAAGGAAATTGTTGAAGTAAGTCTATATGTGTGTAAAAATATATGTATATATTGTTAAGATGTGCTAATTTGAGTAATATAAAGTGTTAATGAGCATTTTGAGTTAGCTTTTTGACTAGATTTTTCATCATTAAGGTTGAAATGAGATGAACTAAAGAACTACATGATCTTGTGTAGATATGTGTTCTTATGTTCTTGCAACTTAGTAACAATTTTGTTTGGCCTTTTGGCTAGGCCATCAAACAAAAATAGGAGTTTGTTTTATACTATGCATACTTCCACTGATTATTCAGACAATGAGCTTTAGGTCAGACACTAATGTAGGTAGAGGGCTGAAAAATTCTTTGCTCTTAGTTCAACACCCAACAGTTTGATTGTAATAATTCGCAAAGAAAACTTAGTAAAGGCTGCCTCGCTCTACGTATGACGATGTGTAGCGTTTCATCGTCACGCTGGCTCTTGTGTTCTAATGTTCGCAATTTTCGTATCATTTGGAGTGAGCTGTACATCAGAGTGCATGGAAATATTGGGATAATGGTTGAAGACTCAGCTCTTTTCTTAATCGGATTGAAAACTTCTTGTATCGAAAGGAATAAACAGCATTGGCACTATTATTATCTTGAATTGAATAAAAACACGAGATTTAAATCGCTGGGCAGGTTCGTCATTCTCTGATCATGTATGAGAAACTGACCTCTCTCTAAACTATGGTATGAGCGCTCTCTGCATGGATGTTTTCATCAACAATCAGGCGATTGTGTGCCTTTCTGCAACTTATTATACAGCCGAAACCCCGATTTTTGTTTGAATATAGTTTGGTATTCTGCAAAACACAAAAGGGCATGGAGGACTTCGGTAGTCGTATCATCTGCTCTCGTAGTGTAGTGGTTATCACGTCTGCTTTACACGCAGAAGGTCCCAGGTTCGAGCCCTGGCGGGAGCATCTTTTGTACTGATATTACTCGGCTACACGCATCCGACAGTTTACTAAATACCTCATAAACTCTACTTGGAGGGTTTTCGAACTAATATATGTGTGCCAACTCGTTGTTTTAATATAACGTGGTGTATCGTAGAAATTCAGAGTTTATGCACAAACAGACGGGAATGACTAATCAATATTAATCTTTGATGGAAAATAGTTCTAATCTACAATTGAAAGCAGCTACAATTATCTAATTTCATTTAAATTTGGCCTCGAACCTTGCTTTTCTTTGATCGTGTCAAATCAACTTAATAGTTAAGTAGTTAAATGATTATATTCTTAATTTATTTATCTTAATAAATTTTATGTGTCTGTCTCTCTCAGATTATGGTCTGTCAGCGTTCCATTTCATTCAGGTTATTCCAAGTAATCTTTTATTGTGTATAGATTTGATTATCCAGTCTATCCAAAATCTTTCAAGGCAAAATATGTAGTTGATAGAAATTTCTTTTAATATCCTAATTTTTTTCATGTCTAGAGTCGGCGATAATTTTATTTAGTTGGCTGTCGTTCGCCCGGTGTGGATATATTTGATTCTAATTTTCAGAGCTAATTAGCAGAAAATTTGAGAACGATCTTCGCATTAAGGAGAAGATTAGGTATTTAATTCCAACTTAATCCGTTTCACCACTCTTTTATCGGAATGATGACAAATAATTAACTGGAATACAAAATGCTAAGAAGGTAAATGCACAAGAATGCTGATCACAGATCGGGCCAACAGTTTTATCTAGCCACCAACTTCAATAGCATAGAATGAGAAATATTTTCAGTAGAGTTTGAAAAATGACTGTGCTTACCTGGGCTCGAACCAGGGACCTTCTGTGTGTTAGACAGACGTGATAACCACTACACCATAAGCACTTGTTTCTGCTGGAAGAGATAAAGCGTCTGGCTCTCGTTAAAGCAACCCAAGATTTTTATATACTGTATATGTATCTATAAAATTTCATTTTGTTTTATTGCCTAATTACAAGGGTTTTCAGGATTATCAGTTCTCAAGCGAGAATAAACCATACCGAACTTCATTTAGATTACGGTACGTAGTCACTAGTCAGGCCTGCCGTTATAGAACATCTGAACCTTTTAAATGCCATCTTGTAAGTATATAGAGGTCTTGTATGCTTTTTACTTCTATACGTTACTGCAACTCCTTTCAGTATGCTTGGGTTATCAACTCCATATCTAATGTCCATATCTAAAATAGATTCATAAGTTTTTTTTTCAGGCCAAATTTCATCTATAACGTTCACTATTTCTGGCATTTAAGTGAAGACGGTCTCGAAATTTCCTAAACGCAGGCGCTAATTTCTAGGAGCTTTATCACGGCTGATATAAATTTTTATGGAAAATTCCTAGATTTGTTTTTTCAGTTTATTTCGTGGGCATTTGAAGTTTCATCAGCGTCGTTTCCCTCACGTTCCATCATGCATAGAGTTTTAATGGAATGTATTTTCGCTTGTATTTCTATATGTTAATATATTCTAAGATTTCCATCAAAGCGAGAGACTAAATTTAAGTAAGAGACAGCGTAAGAAATGAATTTCATATGCTTGAATAATTATTTTGTGACTAACAATTTTTGATTTTGAATTTGATAGGCAACGGAAGTTTGTTCCAATCGATGAGTGTTCTTCGGGTAATGTTTTCAGTGTGAGGGGTTAGTGAGGGAACGATGCATGAATTTTGCCCCGAAAAGAGTACCGTCTCGACTAAAAATCTTTATACAGAGTTTTGTAGATGTGGCTGGAGCTTCAGAAATGAGCTTCACTCGTTGATAGCGTTCATTTTATGTTTTTTGACAGCCCGATTATTGGGCTGATTTTTTCTTCATAGGCAATAAAGATTATCAATAAGCGGTTATTAGCAATTGAAAGCGCACTACACACGAGTCGGACTCAGGTCGGTGCATCGATAGACGTGGTTGAGATAGGTGCACATATACTTTACTCTTTTATAGAATAATTGACGTATCCCACAGTCCTTCATGTACTACTGTTTTTCACATTCACTTAATACTGATTTCATTGCGCTCTGTTCGTATGTAGGGATTCCATACGTAAAATCATATTTTCTGCCGCGAATAATTAGTTTTAAAGAGAACGTTAAAAGCACTCCTGTTATGTAAAAGCATGCAACATCCTATTTACTCGTTGAAAATTTCGATTTATCTCTCCACGAGTCCGGCCCCCGATACTTCGCTAAGGATATCTCGTTACGAGTTATCTCACCTACCACTGCATCCTGCTTACCGAAAGCTTCTACGAATTGCTCGCTTCCAAGATATTATATTTTTTGCGCAGGGCTTTGCATCATAAGTTCCCCAGTTATGTCTAATTTTTCTTGATAAGGAAAAGATAGCCTAATTTTTCTTGATTGTGAACAGTTAATAAGTACGCATGATACTACGTGTAACTTATAAATTTGGCGCTTAAACAAACATTAAATTCGGGCTCGATCTGTATTTAAAACTGCCTCTCACTTTGAATAGAGCAAATATGAAGAGTGCCCAAGATTCGGAACAAAGCGTTTCTTGAAGCAAGTATGTGAACTTCGAAGCCAAAAACCCGTTAGTCTAAGCAACGTCGCCAACCGTGCCATTATATCAGCGGAAACAAGATTATTTCAACGTGAGCTTTCCGCTCAACGATGATAGGCTTCGTATGTGATCATGTGACCTCCCGAGTCGTCAGTTTCGCTATATACGTTCCCACCGTTAGGCAGCGCACGTTTTGCGTCGCCGAGTGAAAATTGCTGTGGACAATATAGTAGTTTGATGAAATTAATTTTAGTATGTGCTAGATTATGTTTCGTCGGCTTATAAAATATTTAGCAATTATGAAATAATTTTAATTTACAAGCAATACGCCATTTACTCTGTCATTCGTGCGGCAGTCGGCGCTTAATTGCGCCTTCATAATAGATTATCCATCCATTCATCAAGTTTCATTTGCTTGCTTGAAACATGGTCTACTCCCGTTTATTCTCTGAATTTGCTTGGTAAGGTTTTTTAAATAATGAAATTGCTTTGTCGCTTTACGCGTATTACCTACATATAGCGTTTCTCGGTCAGCTTGACCATCGCGATCTCTTGGAAATTTGCGTTAAGTAAAGGCGCCAAGCTTTATCTTAAAACAGAAATTGTTTCGCTCGGGACTTGCTCCTTATTGAAGGTTTTCATTAACGGAAATTCCGTTACTATTTAGTCATATGAGGCAAGAATCTCACAAATATATATACGTCGATTGAGGAGGAATCGATTATCTTAATAGATGATGCAAAGGCTTGGATGCTTACTAATATATTGATATTTTTATGCACTGAGTGCGATCAATTCAATAACTTACCGATTATATTGATGAATGACATAAACTAAACCTGCCTTTCATAAAATTAAATTAAAATCTATGAGAACAGATCAAGCAAGCTAGAACTATTTCCTATTCTCTCATATCAAATTCTACGACCCGCAATAATCGTAAATTCTATTTAATTCCCTTTTTACCATTATTGAATCATTCTAGAAATATAGCTTTTACTTGAAGATTAGAATTATAGTTTAGGTAGCCGAGTGAGGTACGACTTGCCTCCTCTGGGTGCGAGTATAGGATTGCAGCGATGCTGACGAAGGCGCTGCAGCGTGTGGCGTGTGCAGCGTTGCTGGTGGTGCTGCTGGTGGGGGTGACAAGCTCTCAGAGCACCGCGCCGCTCCCGGCCACCTGGACCAACAACAAGCGCATGTTCCTTGACTGGCTCATCACGGGCTGTGCTAACTACCAAACAAGTCCATCCGGGTGCGCAAATTATTATTTCAATTTATATTATTATTATTTCAATTTATATTATTATTATTATTAATTATCAAATTGTTATTGATTGATTATTCATTTTTATAATTGTTAGAATTTGTATTCTTATAATTCATAATCATAACCTACATTTTTTTTAATTTTACGCGATAATATATCATCGGACTCATCTTTAAGGTACTGTGTACTTGTAGTCATGTTCAGTCATGTGCGGAATTACCATCATTCATTAACAAAGCCTGTTATAAAATAACGAGTACAATCTCTTCTGATGACGGTGATAACAAAATATAATAATAATAAAGTCATTAGATACTGAACTAAATTCCATTGCTGTCAATTTTTTTATGAGCGTTCAGCTGGGATCGAGTTCTAAGGGCTAAATGAAGATGCATGAACAATGAACAGATTTGTATCATCTCTTGATGACTTTTTGGTAGTTAGAATTCCGATCAAGCGAGGTTTAGGATTAAAAGACAAGCAAGTGTGCGATTAATTTAATAGTTGCAGGTATAGTAATATCATTTTCAATTAGCGATCCATGTTAACATACCAGGCATATTGGTTGCTCGTCGAAACCTTGCCTACCAAATCGCCAGAGTACGGAGATTATATGAAGAAGTGCGTAACATGAACGGTCTAAGAAATAATATTTTATGAGAAGTTAACAACTTTCGCCTTTAATTTCGAAATATATTCTTCGTGATAGTACATTAAGTACATTAGAAGATAGATAGTACATTATAGATAGATAGTACATTAGAAGTGTGTTACCGTTCAGCCATGCTTTAGGAAAAAATATGGATGTATTTTCAATGATCTAAGAAGCCGTCATTATTCCTAGCCTATCGAAGGTTGCAGCTCCTGATAAAAGCTGCTGCTCTGTAAATAAATAAACTCTGCTGCTCACCCTATTTTATTTTTTATCTGCACTTCTAGCTGCTCGATCTCAGACCACCACAGCGAGTACGAGGGATACGATGGCTTCTACAACAACCTGGCCAAGCCTGACTTGGGCGCCGTGGGTGAGTGACGATTGTGTCCCATGAATATGCACTTGACCGGCGTCATGTGACTATAATACACGTTACTGATCCTCACTAAAATAAATCTCTATGAATAATTTGTTCAGCGAATGGAGTGAAGTAAAGTTGTGCTTTTTTGCGTTTTTCGCTCCCGCAACACTGGCAGTTTTCTGACCTGCCACTTAGGGAGCTTCTCCAAAGAAGATCACGCTTGACCGGCGTCATGTGACTGTTAATACACATTACTGATTCTCAGTAAAACAAATATCTATATGAATAATTTGTTCAACGAATGAAATGAAACAAAGTTGTGCTTGTTTTACATTTTCGCTGCCGCAACACTGAAAGTTTTCTGGCCTGCCACTTAGGGAGCTTTCTCAAAGAAGATCTGTAATAAATAGCATTATGGAGCTCTGTATGTTTGTTTGCCATACTGGGAAATCGCATTATTATATTTGCTGAAACAAAGACCCTTTTCTTCATCCTCGTACAATTCCATCTTTTTCAATTCTAGAACTGTAATTCTTTCCTGAAATGTCGCATGCTTGCATTTTACAATACCTTACTTTTTAAACTATAGTTTTTAATAAAAGTTCTAGAATGTTTTCTAACGCCGAAAAATGTACTTGTGTTACACCTAAAAAAGTAACCTGTTGTCTTCATGCACTGAAGGCATTCTGAAATACTTTATAGCTCATGAAATGTCATTATATACAACGAATATTATTATATAGGTGCTAGGAATATTATTATATACAAGTAATATCATTATATACACAAGGAATATCATTGTATACCAGAAATATCATTATATACAAGGAATATCATCATATACTATACAATCATTCACTGACTATCCCTGTCGATGTCTCTACAACACCGCACAGACACGCCGCTGCTGCGTCTGCTGCCCCCAGCGTATAGTGACGGTGTCTACCGTCCTGCCTGGCGCCCCGTCAACCCCATCACCGCCAGCGTGACCACCATGACCGGTCCTAGCGGCCAGCTCAGCAACGGCGGCAAGACTGCGCTTCTTGTCTTCTTCGGTGGGTCTTTTGTCTACAGTCGGGAAATGAATGTGTCGTATTGTCATGCATAATACACATGAATGTGACATAATGCATGAATGTGACGTTATGCTTGAATGTGTCGTACGTATTGTCATGCATAGTATACATGAATGTGTCGTATAGTGGCACGCTTTCTTACCCACTCCAAAGAGGAGAGAGTGGATATAGCGCTGATACACCTTTCTGCCGTGACAAACTGGGTCAGGGTGACCAATACTGGCCAATACGAAAAGTGCATCACTATTTGGGCAAAGTCTCGTTTATTTTTCTGATAGCAATAATGGTTGGGAAATATCTTATCAATTCTATTACTACCGCAGAGATTTTCCTGTCGCTGTTTCAAGCGCTCACAAATTTTCTTTGTTCGTGTTCTGGTGATGAATTTAAGTCTAAATTTCGTAAACTAAAGCCATTTGACCTAAAGCCATTTCGTTAAAGTCTGCTTATCGCCATTATTCAGAGTCTTTCTCAGCACAGATGCGTGAATTTTGGAATATCGTCTTTTCACTGTGTCAGCTTTTGGGGTTATCTGCAGAAGTTATACTGTGTTTGTTTCTATTAAGATATGCAATTATAATCATCATTTTTGAATAATCAATATATCGTATAACTCTCACTAGACATCGTGCGTTCAATTAAACGTTGTTTTCTTTAATCAACGTTAATTTAACTTTTTTTTCTACGTCATGTGCCTGTTGGGCTGGAGTATGAAGTCCATGGCATGCTGATACGAACCTATTTGAGAACTGAAAATTAGCTTAGCTTCTCATTCACCTTTTGCGACTCGTGAAAATTTTCCGTTGAACGCCGCTTACCCCCAATTTGTAATTAACCAGAAATTATTCCACATTCTCTCGTTATCATAACTGTCAATTATTATATTTATTACTATGAATTATTCCCTTACAAACGTACACTGCCGACAGGCCAGCAAGTTGTGGAGGAGCTGCTGGACGCCCAGCGACCAGGCTGTCCTCCTGAGTACTTCAACATCAAGATTCCTGCGAACCATTCCTTCCGTACCCACGCACCCAAGCTCGAGGAACTCCCCCTGCTCAGGACCAGATATGCTGGCAACACCGGCTACTCTCCCGGCAACCCCAGGCAACAGGTGACACTGTAAAGCCATCATTAGCACTGACTGCAGGCATAATAATGATGAGGTGGAACAATGATGTTATGAATTTGTTTAATGACGTATTGTAATGGCGGGGATTACGTTGAATATGTCCTGCAATAATTCCCTCTTCCATATGTTGAAGCAGAGGGTTAAATTGTTTATACGAGCCAGACACCCATAGCTAGTTGATATTTGTGAGTTTGAAACTGCTTGACCGTGTTTGTATTTCTTGTGTATTGTGTGCATTAGTCTACCTTGACGATGTACACATTGACCTCCTGCTGACGTAGAGATGTACTCATTGACCTCCTGATGATGTAGAGATGTACTCATTGACCTCNACCTTACTTACTCATCTAAGTTCGAGAAGGTTTAAATATTTTTTTCGTCTGAATTTCTGAAGGTCTAAATGTTTTACTACTTGATGTTTCTAATACATGTAATTGCTCTAAATGTGTTAAGTACTAAACCTGTTTACTTTCGCAGCTTGGCAAAGGTTTCCCAGCCGGCAACGACCAGCGGTTGCCGATGGCGAACCCTCCGGCACCCACGAACCATTCCGAGTACCTGCAGCACCAGAGCACCGCCAGAGTGAACAGGTTCTTCAGTGAGTACCTCCAGGTTGTTCAGTGAGTACTTCCAGGTTCTTCAGTGAGTACCTCCAGGTTCTTCAGTGAGTACCTCCAGGGTCTTCAGTGAGTACCTCCAGGTTCTTCAGTGAGTACCTCCAGGGTCTTCAGTGAGTACCTCCCTCCAGGGTCTTCAGTGAGTACCTCCTTCCAGGGTCTTCAGTGAGTACCTCCCTCCAGGTTCTTCAGTGAGTACCTCCCTCCAGGGTCTTCAGTGAGTACCTCCAGGTTCTTTAGTGAGTACCTCCAGGGTCTTCAGTGAGTACCTCCCTGCTGGGCCCTGGTCTTCAGTGCAGTAGTGGGCCCTGGTCTTCAGTGCAGTGGTGGGCCCTGGTCTTCAGAGCAGAGGTGGGCCCTGGTCTTCAGAGCAGAGGTGGGCCCTGGTCTTCAGTGCAGTGGTGGGCCCTGGTCTTCAGTGCAGTGGTGGGCCCTGGTCTTCTATGTAGCGATGGGTCCCCGGCCTCATTCTCTGGCTGGGCTTTGGGACCGTGGCCTCCTGGGCCCTAGTCCACCCAACAGCTTCGATGCTGGTTTGCATCTCGGAAAAGTAGTTTTTCAGTTGTTACGATTAGACCATATATTTGTGCATAAATTTTTTGCATTGCAACAACACGCTCGCTAAACTAAGAATGAATTTAATGTTTGAGTTTGGTTTTAATTGCTATTAGTCCTCGTACAAAATCATTCATTTTGCGTCAATGTTTTTACAAATCCTTCACCATATGTCAGCTCATTCCTTACTTCCGAAATCCAATCTAGTCTTTGCTGAAATTCAGTTATGGTCTTATCTAAATTAGTGCCAACCGTTGAACTCGTACATCTTTTAGTGATTTTAAAATACTTCAACACCATGAAGCCAGTCAAATCCAGGACTAATTTCTTAAGTATCTGTCAAGGTTGACGTTAACGAGCATTTCAGAGCTGGGCAACCCTCGTGGCAACGAGAATCCTTTTCTGCTGACGTTTGGGATTGTGCTGTTCCGCTGGCACAACGCCATCGCCAGCCGCCTGCACGACCTCAAGCCTTCGTGGTCCGGTGAGACCTTCATGGACTTCAGTAGCAATTAGCAAACATTCGTATGTTTAAATTATGTATATGGACAAAGTTTATGGACTGATTGGAAACACGAATATGATGAGCCTTTGTTAGTATACGAACGCGTGTTGGTGTGTATTCGTATGTTCAAATTATGTATGTGGACAAAACTTATGGACTATGTTGGAAACACGAATAATAGCCTTCGTTAGTATACGAACACATGTTGGTGTGTACTGTATGCTGGGCATGCATCGCGTGGTAATTCATCACTCGTTATCATCACGAATACGTCACTTGTTATCGTCACGAATATGCTGCGCGTGCGAATGACTTTTTTGTTAGTAAACGAAGGCGTGTTGGCGTGTAGTGTGTGCTGGGTATGCATCGCATGTTAATACATCACACGTTATCATCACGAATATGGCGCGCGTGTGTTGACAGACGAGCGCGTGTTCAACGAGGCCCGGAAGTGGGTCATCGCGACTCACCAGAGCGTCGTCATGTACGACTGGTTCCCTAAGTGGATCAGGCAAGACCTGCCGCCTTATGCAGGTTAGTTGTTCATAGTTAGTTATTTACCAGACGGATAATTAATTTAATGATATTAAATAGTATTACCTTCTGTAATGCTTGGAGTTAATTATGCGGAGAAGTTAGCTAGGAATTATATTTAATCGTATTTTTATACCAGGGGCAAATGCCAAGATTGATACGTGCATCCAATAAGATAAAGTGGGAGTTGAAACGATTAGTATCGAATTATCGATCATATAAACACCTAAATTGGTATTAGTGTCGATCATAAAAATACCTAAATTGGTACTATTAGTATCGATAATATAAACACTTAGATGATCGCTGTATTGATCATCTAAACACCTACAATCCAGCGGATGTCCTCACGCTCGCGCCTTTGTCCTGCGTCACACACCTGTATACCAAGTCTCAAGTACCAGGCTTTACTACTAGGATGTACAGTCAACCTTCTGTGTACTGTTATTCTAAGGATATACAGTCAACCTTCTGTATACTGGCACTGTAAGGATATACAGTCAACCTTCTGTATACTGGCACTGTAAGGATATACAGTCAACCTACGCTGCACGCCATACTCAGAGATGGCTGAGATAAATAGCGATGCTCTCTCCACCTTTGCATGGGTTATCCCTACTCACTTAAGCCCCGTAAAGAGAACGTATCAGTAATTCGTGCAAAAAGTGCGTCCGTATTTGTACATCATAACGGTTCATAGCCCATTAATTTTTCTGAGTGCATGCCCCCTCATGCCACACGCCCCCTCATGTCACACGCCCCCTCATGCCACACGCCCCCTCCTGCTACACGCCCCCTTATGCTTCATACCCCGCAGGTTACCGCCCCACGGTAGACCCACAAGTGAGTCACGTGTTCCAGTCGGCGGCGATGAGGTTCGGTCACACGCTCGTCACGTCAGGCGTCTACCTGCGGAACAAGGCTAGTGAGGGCTGCCTCACCGTGCCTTACGACCTCTCCTTCAGCAGGACGCTTAATGACGGAGGTCCTAAACACTCGGCCGGCGTCAGGACCTGTAACTCCTTCTGGAGGTCCCCGGTGAGCGACGGGTTGCGTCTTAATTTTTTGTGTGATTTTTATACAAGAAAATTTATTGTGAAAGTTCGACTTAAAAGTCCGAATTAGTTGGTTGTTAATTAAATTAATAGCATTATTAATATTTATTGTGAGTACGTAAAACAATAATATAAGGACACGTGTGTTCTTGTATAGGACACATGTGAAATTTTCAAACAGATTATTGATGAAGTAGTGCTAAATAAAACAATAGGTCCTGTTTGTCAGCTGTATATTATTCAAAGAAATTTTGTCTTCAAAGCTTGACAAAAAAGAAAGAACGATGTCCAAATTTCTTAAAGTAATAGCGATATTTATAGGTGGATAAATAGGAAAATAACGTAATAGGTTATTATTAATAGCGATATTTATCTTTTGCTTGTGTGGTGTTGTCCTTAAGTGTGACAGATTTAGTTTACTCTAATACAATAGATTAGATTTAGTTTACTCTAATACCCGAATTCGTACTGTTCGTATGCGTCATAATCATTTGCAATACGCACACGAACTAATAACTATTATTAATAGTTATTACCAATAGTTAAATAGGTCGCTATAATAAGCTGTTAGAATAATTTAGGTATTTCAAGTCTTTTATTAGTATATTGATTTAGGTCGCTATTATTATAATTTAATTCGCATATAAACTTTGTCCAGGAACTCTTCCTGAAAGACATGGTACCACAGGGACCTCAGAGGTACGGGGTACCACAGGGACCTTAGAGGTGCGGGTACCACAGGGACCTCAGAGGTACTTGTACCACAGGGACCTCAGAAGTACGGGGTACCACAGGGACCTCAGAGGTGCGGGTACCACAGGGACCTCAGAGGTACTGGTACCACAGGGACCTCAGAGGTGCGGGTACCACAGGGACCTCAAAAGTACTGGTACCACAGGGACCTCAGATGTACGGGGTACCACATGGACCTCAGAGGTGTGGGTACCACAGGGACCTCAGAGGTGCGGGGCACCTCAGGGACCTCAGAGGTACGGTACCACAGGGACCTCAGAGGTGCGGAGCACCACAGAGGCCTCAGAGGTGCGGGGTACCACAGGGGCCTCAGAGGTGCGGGGTACCACAGGGACCTCAGAGGTGCAGGGCACCACAGGGACCTCAGAGGTGCGGGCACCACAGGGACCTCAAAGGTTTAGCATCACTTCTAAGACCTCGTAGTTCTGCTGAATTTTTCGATCTTTCTCGTATGATAACAAATTATGAAGCAGATTGATAATATGTATTAAAGCCTAAACCGTGATGTAGGAAATGCGTTTGGGCACGTTTGAATGTGGTACGGGTCACGTGGACCTATATTTTCTATATCATGTATCGTAAAAAGTCTAAATAAAAATATTTACTGATTAAAAAAATCCATTTTAGTGTATAAACAAAATATGTATTGTAGTGAGAAACCAGTATTATGCACGAGTGTAATATGTATTGTTGCAGGAAATGTGTTTGGCCCGCTGGAGTTCTCGCGCCGTGACCTCATGGCCATCAACATACAGCGGGGCCGTGACCACGGTCTGCCGGACTACAACACTGCGCGCAAACACTTCGGTCTGCAGACACTCTCCTCCTTAGACCCCGGAGAGTACAAACGCGTCACGCAGACTAACGTCAGTGATGAGGTCAGTAGGCAGACCGAAGTCTGCAATGAAGTGGACGATCAGAAAATATAGAAGTGACTCTGTCAATAAATAGATTACGCAATAGGATGTAAAATGCCGAAATGAAATACTAATGTAAATTGAATGACGGATTTCGTTCGTGCGGCCCAAATTTGCTCTTGACACTAAGCCCGTTAGGCTGGTATGTATTGATAGAAATTCTTAAGCGATGATGGCGTCTGCCATGCGTTGCCATGAGGATGTATAGCACTGACCACATGACGCTGCTGGTGCTGATGGCATCTGCCATGTGTTGCCATGAGGATGTATAACACTGACCACATGACGCTGCAGGTGCTGGTGGCATCTGCCATGCGTTGCCATGAGGATATATAGCACTGACCACATGACGCTGCAGGTGCTGATGGCATCTGCCATGTGTTGCCATGAGGATGTATAACACTGACCACATGACGCTGCAGGTGCTGGTGGCATCTGCCATGCGTTGCCATTGAAGTGACTCTGTCAATAAATAGATTACGCAATAGGATGTAAAATGCCGAAATGAAATGTTAGTGTAAGTTGAATGACGGATTTCGTTCGTGCGGACCAAATTAGCTCTTGACCCGAAGCTCGTTAGGCTGGTACGTATTGATAGAAATTCTTAAGCGCTGATGCCATCTGCCAAGCGTTGCCATGAGGATGTATAACACTGACCACATGACGCTGCAGGTGCTGCGGCGCCTGCAGGAGGTTTACGGAGACCCCAACATGACGGACATCTGGCCAGGGGGGCTGCTGGAGACTCGCTTGTACGGACCTGGACAGCTCTTCACCAAGTGAGCCTTTTCAACCTTTTAGCTCAGTTCCCAATGCATCTTGTTTTTCTTACGAGTGCAAAATACCTCATTTTATCTATACAGAATTGATGAAATTTATTCATTAAAAACATTTCACTGGTGACATACTCTTATGTTTTCCAGGTATTATCTCTGAGTTATATTATTGTTATAGTTAACTTTTCGCTTTGATGAGTACCTAAACTCCACATAATATGTACTCTAACATGATCCTAATGACGCGCAGCATTATCAAGGATCAGTTCGAACGCATCCGTGACGGTGACAGGTTCTGGTTCGAGAACACCAACAACGGGTGAGTTAGATCCTGCTACCAAACCTACCCGATAGTTCCTTGATCTATTTTGGTGTATTTTTTGCTGATATATTGGCGGATCCAGTTTAATTTCGTCTAAGATGAATAATGTTGCATTTATGTTATGATCATTCACTTTTATTTCGAAACTAGGGAAGATCTAATTACTTCTATACCAAATAGTGTGCCTTTGGATGAACTTTTTCACTTGAGCTTGTCTTTGATCCCTCTTGAAATCTTGCAGGCAGTTCACTGATGCAGAGCGTCAGCGCATCAGACAAGTAAATCTCATCGATATTCTGCTGACGGTCGCCGATATCACGCTGTCCGACATCCAGCCCGATCCGCTCACGGCTGTGAGCGACCTCAACGGTTGGTCCTTTTCGCGTGAACAGCGGTTGTTCGTTGTTGCATCAAAACTGTTGGGCATTTAAACGGAAAATCGGTTGTTCAGTTCAAATGGTTGGTTACTTAACTGTAAGACTGGTTATCTATTTAAAATTGTTGGACTTTTCGAAGGAAAATCGGTTGTTCAAATATAACAGATGATCACTTCACTGAAAGATCGGTTATGTAGTCAAAGCGTTTGAAAATTTTACAGGCAAATCGGTTTTTCGGTCAAAATCTTGGTAAATTTACTGAAAGATCGATTCTTCAGTCAAAAACGCTTGGTTACTCGACCGAAGTTTTGGCTAATTTGATCTAAATATTCAGTCATTTGGCTTAAATGTTTGTTAGTTTGATCGAAGTTATTGGTCAATTGATCTGCATGGCCAGTCTTTTGATCGAAATGGCATGGTCATTAAATTCCAGTTAATTTTACGTAGTTTAGAAGAAATATGCTGATTTTGCAAAGTATTTCTGCACGCCCCAAATTACTTTATAACTAATTTTTCATCTTGCATCATATTTTGAAGTGTCAGTTTCCTCGTACAGACTTGCCACAATGCCGACGACAGCTCGTAGCCAACACCTCGTGCGTCGTGTTCTTCCCCAACAACTCCCGCACCCCACTACCACCACCGGTAACCCACCCTCCTGGTTGGGCTGGTCCTCCTCCCGAGGTGCTGCCCCGGAACAGCGTGCGGACGACGTGTCACTACCTGCCTCCCTTGGGCGCCTCGAACCTGGAGCCCTGCAGCCCCGCGAGCACCTTCGACTACTTCACGGGCTCTGCCGCGAGCTTCATCGTCACCTTCGTCGCCGTGGCTGCTGCTGGCGTCGGTAATGACACGTGATTCGTCTATTGCAATACGAATATTAATAAAGTGCAATGCATAACCAACATTGAATAAAGTTAATAGAATAACCAACATGAATAAAGTGCAATGCATAAGCAACATTGAATAAAGTTAATAGAATAGGAACATGGATAAAGTGCAATGCACAACCAACATTGAATAAAGGTAATAGAATAACCAACTTGAAAAAAGTGCGATGCATAACCAACTTGAAAAAAGTGCAATGCTTAACCAACATTAATAAAGTGCAACGCATGACCAACATGAATAGAGTGCAATGCATAACATGCATGAATGAAGCGTTATGTGAATAACTAATATCATAATAATCCGACAGCATTATAAACTCTTTATTGGCCTATAAGAAGTTTTCAAACCTCCATATAAAGTATTTGCTTTGGAAGATAAGTTTGATATTTTATTATTGCGTGAATTCTCACCTCATCTATTTTTCCCTCTCATCTAAAACGTTTATAAAAATTCAATTCCTATCTCAAAGCTAGGAAGATAGTTCAATGTTACGAATGTATTTTTTCAGTGCCTTTGTCTTGTCCTTTAATTGATACAAAGTTGTCTTCACTACGATTTATTTCCAGCATTACTGACGACGATGATCTTGCTGTCGCGCTGGAAACAAGCAGAGCGAGCCAGGACTGTCACGTCAACCATTAAAGTCAACGAGAACGGCATCGCTGCTAAGGGTGAGCTCCCTGAGACAAAAGTGATCTTTTTCAAGCTTTATATTTATATGCATCTTCTAATGAGCATTTGCATTTATATGCGCATCTTCCAATAAGCATTTGCATTTATAAATGCATTTATATGCATCTTCTTATGAGCATTTGCATTTATATGTGCATCTTCCAATAAGCATTTGCATTTATAAATGCATTTATATGCAGCTCCTAATGACCATTTGCATTTATATATGCATTTATAAGCATTTTCTAACAAGTAATATTTACTAGGCTATATGTTCCAGTAGCGTCTTCGAATTTGCAATGCATGTTTCGTGTGTATAGAATGTATACTATTTCTGATGTATAAATAATGTTTCAGTATTAAGCCGAATTGGTCGCGAACTCGGTACTGGATGACGTCTGCGTACAATATAAGAAGCTGATGTACATTAGAGTAAAACAATAAAATCTTAGTACTATGTACAGTAAGAAACTGCTATACGGACAATAATACAGTTGAACGAAGTAAGGCGGTAAGAACGGACAAGCTTCTTTGTACAATAAGACGCCGCTATACATTGAGACGCAGCAAGACATTAAGACGCTTATGCTCAGAACGCGGATTGTGTCTTACTGTAAAAAACATATGGTAAGTAGTATGTTGATATAAGTAAAGATGCAGTAAGACGCTTATGCTCAGAACGCGGATTGCGTCTTTCTGTAAAAAACAAATAGTAAGTAGTATGTTGATATAAGTAAAGATGCAATAATATTCGTCATGCTCAGAGCGCGTGTCGCACATCGAGAGCCGCTTCGTGGTGGTTGAGTTCCATACAGGCGACCGGCGCATAAACGTACGCGCCCCGAGCGGCAGCCTCCTGCGCACCGTGGACCTGCAGCACCTCGAGGTGCTCACCGTCAGACACCTCGCTGACTGCCGCAGCATCATCATCTCTGCGCAACATCACTACGACCTCGTCAGTGATGACGTGACCAGTGTGCTGTCTTACTCGTGTGTTAAGTGTTTTGTGTGAAGTGTTGTGTTTGGAGTGTGTCGTGTGGAGTGTGGTGTATAGTTTGCAGTGTGCGGCGTTTGCAGTGTGATTTATGTCGTGTGGAGTGCGCTGTGTTAAGTGTAGTGTCTGTAGCTCGAAGTGTGGTGTGTTAGCGTCGTGTGTGTAGTGTGGTATGTGCTATTGTTGTGCTAAGTGTCGCGTATGTGTGCCGTTTATTCCATGTTAATATCACGAATGCTGCGGTGCGAACTAACGTGATGTGTCGTGCATGTGTCGCGTGTATGTCGCGTAAGTGTGCCGTTTATTCCATATTAATATCACGAATGCTGCGGTGCGTACTAACGTGATGTACGTCGTGCAGTACCTGAAGTTCTCTGACAACGTGCAAGGCCACAAGCTGGTGTCGGTGCTGAAGAAGTTCTGCGAGGACACGAACATCACACCCGAGTTCCGGGAGGAGTCTGTTCTCACCATCAACAAGGGCGTGACCACCAACAAGCAGCGCGCTCAGGAGCTCGCCGCCTTCTCCAGACTCGTTCTCTCCGAGGTCTGGTCCCAAAATTTTAGTCCGGCGATACTTTGCTTTATTTAAGTTGATTTAATTTATTGCAATTAAGGTAATAATGAAATTCATTTTTGGACCAGACTCGTACTCTCCGAGGTCTGGTCCGAAAATTTTACTCCGGCGATACTTCGCTTTATTTAAGTTGATTTAATTTATTGTACTTAAGGTAATAATGAAATTAATTTTTTTTAATCTAGTCATTTACAGTCACTTGCGCCATAAGGCATTTTTTTCTTTAAAATTTATGTCATTGCAGGGTTTCAATTATATTTACCGGTACATCTAAATTACCGGTACATTTTTTAAATGACGGCTCAATCAGGAATAAAACAAAAACATTTCAAAGGAACTTTTTTCAAACATCTAAATGGATTTCTTAACTCCAAATATTTACTGGTTGCTTCGGCGGATTACGTGAAATTGAATTTTTTATATAATTACACGTTGGCAAGACCGTTAATTAGTAAATTTTTCATTAGATTCTGCTAAAAATAAACTTGAAAAATGAACGATTCAATTGAATATATTTCTACCACAGGCTTGGAAAATGTAAAAAAATACAAAGCCCGTTGCCAAAAGCGTTCATCCAGACTTACAATAAAAAATGTTTAGGTACCGGTACTTCATTAAAGGTTGTTTTTCCAGTTTCTCGCTGTATGCACTCGTTACTTCACCGATATTTGTTGGTATTTTTTTCGGTGCCTGACAATTTTTGTTGAACTCAACAGTCGTTCGAGGAGAAGAATTATTTCCTGTCTAATACTGCATGCATTCTTTGTTGCTATTTCATGGCACTTCCGTCGCACAATTACTATTAGAAAATCCTCGGTTCTGAATAACATAAGTAGATCACTTTGCTAAACTTCTGCCGGAGTTAAGTATGAAGCCATCGTGCCATTCAGTGACCCGTAATGGAATGGATAATTCAAAGAATGGAACTAATGGATTGAATGTCAGTGTGGACCCTTCTATCAATGTACCTATACTTTATATCGTGAAATGGATTCATTGAACCGACATTCGACATGGCGATACTCATCCGCAAGTATGAGAACTTATTTAGCCGTTCTCTATTCCGAGTATAGACGCGTTCAAGAACAGACTAGATAAAGCTATGGAAAAATATTTGTTCAGACTTGTAATGCGATATCGAACCCGGTGGAAGCCTAGTAGCTATTTCAAACTATCGTTAGTCTTGAAAAAGATCCGGTCAAAGGACACGATTTTAGATCTTCTGTGAACAAGTCACGAAAAGTACAAGAATCGGCCACAGGCTACATCAGGCCTACTCTTCAGCGCCGACATCATCATGTTATGTCATGCTATTTAATATTGTACATTTTTAATCGTAAGCCTACTTATTTACCTGATCTATTTCATGCCACGACACGTTGCAGATGTTCCGCCTCATGGACAAGGACCAGAACGGCTTCATCCTCCTGAAGGAGTTCTGGGACGTGATGGTTCTCTTCGCTCGAGGCTCTCTTGAGGAGAAGGCGAGGCTCATCTTCAACATCTACGACGTGTCCCAGACGGGACTTTTGCGGGACACGGACCTGGAAGCGGTTGTCGAGTATGTGTTTCTTTTGGAAAGTAAATAAATAAGTAATATTGGTAGATCTTTTCTTAATTATTTAGGAATAGACTATCTCATGTGGAAATGTGAAGACCGGCCACACCTAACTAGAACTGTGGTGGCCGAGCAGAAAAAACACTCAATACGAATGGGCTAATATCCCTAGCTGTTTGGAGGGTTAATATTTTTTAAGATTTAAAATCAATTAATTTTCCGCTTACGTCATGAAATTTATTACAACGTCATTTATTTTTTTCAGAAGTGGTGCCATGATAGAATTTTCATATTTTCATGCCATTGCATGGCGCGCTGTTCGTTGTACGTCACCAGCATCATTACTTTATTATCATAATCATCAACGCATCTCCAGGTCGATGTTGGGGTCGGAAGGGAAGAGTCGCGACATCCAGATGATCGTAAACAATATTTTGGAGTCCGTGAACCTGACGCGTGGGGAGGCCATCACCTTCCAGAAATTCTTCGAGCTCTTCAGTGGCAACGAAGGCGTTCTTAAGAACATCAACCTGCAGGCCGCCAGAGAGTCCAACGTCCGGTATTTTTTAGACGAAATCCTGCGAGTTCATATGCACTGTAGCTGCAGCAGCTTGTGCAGAAATTGAATTCCATGTTTTCTTCAAAATTCACGTTTCCAATGATAACTCGTCACGAATATTTTAAGCTTATCTGTATAAAAAAGTTTTACAGAGTTTCTCAGTCATAGCAGTTTTGAAATTATAGTTGACGCAGTGACATTGTGCGAGTAAAAATTGTATTATTTCTGTGCAAATTATGTTGTCAGGAAACGGCCTGAGCGGTTCTCCATCTACGGCCTGATGAGAGAGGACGGGGCAAACTCGAAGCAACAACCTCGGCAGAAGACAGGCCGAGCTTTGGACGACCCAGCCTTCGACCGCGTCAACGAAGTCGCTGCCAAGGAAGAGGCTAAAGTGAGATTAACTAATTGTTCATGATGCGAGTTCCCTTAAAGTCAAGATATGTGACTCTGTGTTCAAGATAAGGTCGATTTTTACTCTCTAGGTTTGCTTTTAATAAGCGTTGCAACTAATCGAGGAACATTTTTATTGTTAAAAAGAGTAAAGTATGGACTAATAAGCGCGAATTCTTGTATGAGTGCTGGGGAGATTTTTTCTGAAAGAGGGCCAATTCGGACCAGGTATGTGAATTTTATTTTTTATTTTATTTGGGAAATAGAAAAGATTATTTGGAGTTATAATTGGGCTAGGAAAATATTAGTCCAGTGCTCTGCGTATTTTATTGGTTTGTTTTTGATGTGAAGATAACACTTCTTGCCCTATGGAGTGTTACCCACTGTGCTGATTAAGAATAACAATGATTGTATTAATAAATTTGGTATTTAAAAAAGCGTTAGTAGCCTTGGCCCAGTTCATCTCATTCCATTTGTATCTTTATAAATTTATGCAATTTACAGACGGAAGAGCCTGATTCGTCCTGGCGTGGTTTCCTGAAGGCGATGGCGCGGCGGTTGTACAACCATCAGGTCTACGTGTGGTGGGTCGTCATTTACACCTTCGTCATGCTCCTCATCTTCGCCGAAAGGGCTTACCACTACAGGCAAGACTATTTACCCATAAAGGCGAGCTTATTTATCCCTACAGCCTAGTCTATTTACCATTACAGCCAAGTCTATTCACTACTACAGGCAAGCTTATATGATCCGTCTAAAGTGGACGAGGCTATGGGCCACTGAGTTTACGAGGGTCGACCCAAAAAAATACGGACTGCCTGTGTGGTGGGTGTAGTTTTGTTAGTACCGCATTCTCCAAGTTGTGCTAATGGTACTGACATTCAAAAGTTAGTGTGCCAAACATTGCTGCCCTAGAAGGTCGTATATCGTTATCAAAAAATTGTTGTGACACTTCTTCATAGCGATCGTCGTTTTGTGATGATGTCTGATTTCCGTGAGCAACGTGCTGCCATCAAATTTGGCTTTTTTTTCTGTGAAAAACGGGAAGATCTTGGCTTGCTACAGAAAGCCTACAAAGATGTTGCTATAGGCCGGAGAACGAAAGCTTTACCAGACAGTTCGCAGGCGAGTTCGTTAAAGTGTCGATTCGGTGAAAGCTTTTGAAAAGTTTTCGCGCTTCAAAAAAAAATGAGAAATTAACTTCGCTCAGTTCGTCCTTCCACTTACCGCACTGAAGAAAATGTTGTGAAAATTAGGGACCATATTCCCGGAGATCGATGTAGAACTATTAACAAACTTGTGAAACTGTCCTAAGTGAATTTGAGTTACTCTAGCTAATGTTAAGAGAAGATTTTGGATAGATAACTAAATTTTAATAGAACCAGCCCGGTTTTTTGGGTGCACCCTCTTATATGCCCATTGGAAATTTGTTTTGAGTAGTATCTCTTTGTATCGTCTTGGACTATCTTTCATGTATCTTTTATATCTTTTCACTGATAGATAAATAGCTGAAAAAATCTAATGAAACCTAATGTCTTCCCTAGACATTGAGTACTCAGACCGCCGAGTGTATATACAGATTTAGTACCAACTTGAAGGCCTCTATCCCTGCCTCCAATAAAGCGCTGATTTACACCACGATTTAAAGGCTTCATGCAAATGTAACATGTGTTATGCAAGTATAACATGTGTTACATTTTATCTGGCACATGTATCACATGTATCAACCAATGACCAATTTGTAGGGTTCGATTGCCACGTAAAAAGGGAAAAGTTTTTCCGCTAGCGCTAGAAAGTTGAGGCTCAGTTTTGTTTACAAATTAAATCTTTCTATTGAAGGCTGACGACATTAGTGCTGTGGCGAAATAAGTGGCCTTGACTGTAGTTTGTACTACTTTATAATTAAATTTAGTTGAAAATGACGTCAAAAAATATATTAAAAATACATATAATAGAAATATAATTGATAATTTTTTTTTGTTTGCTGCAGCGTGGAACGTGAACACGGCGGGCTGCGGCGCATCGCAGGCTACGGAGTTACGGTGACGCGGGGCGCCGCCTCTGCCATGATGTTCACCTACTCCAGCCTGCTGGTGACCATGTGCCGTAACCTGCTCAACGCCATCAGGTGTGTTGTGACCTGCTGGTGACCATGTGCCGTAACCTGCTCAACGCCATCATGTGTATTGCGACCTGCTGAACGTTGATCAAACCGCTTCGTTAATTCTTTAGATCTGTAAAGACTGCTCAGCATTATTTAATTCCAGCCACAGCAAACTTTTGGCGCCTTAAATTCCAGTATTAATTTGTCATCTGATGTTCAGGTCGAGCTTCTTGCACCGCTTCTTCCCCATCGACTACATGGTGTCTCTGCATCGCTACATCGGCAACTGGGCGCTCGTGTGGACCATCATCCACATCGTCGGACACTCCATCAACTTCTACCACATCGCGACGCAGACTCCCCCGGACCTCTCCTGCCTCTTCAGGGACTATTTCCGATCGTGAGATTTGTATTTGTTACTTATTGTAGTTCGACAGGAAGTTTTTAAGTTATTTATACCTAAATCTTCATAAATTCAACTGGCGATTATGATTAGGACGGCATATACCTAAAATGAGCGATATCAATTCCAATTAAAATGTGCAGCATTAAGAGAAACTTGTCAACAAAGATGGATGGGTCTCACTGTAATGATTTTATTTCATGATAATAATGATTCATGAGTCTAATTGTAATTTGTCGCCCACGAGTTCACGGCTCCTAGCGTAACAGTCCTAGATGACGCGATCGATCCTGTGTTAATTAACCCACTCATGTCTTTTCATTATAGTGGTGCTTGAGTTCATTTAAAACCTAATGATACATTATTTCATGACCGACTTTTGCACTCATCGCAACGCGTACATCTAGTATCAATTTGTTAACACTTGTGTACTGACAGTACTTCTCGGTCAGGCCTTAGTGTACGATTATAGATGATGGTTACCGTATCCGTAGACAAAGAGTTTAGCTAACAACATGATTAACTAAAGATATATATATATAAAACCGTACATAAATAGATATACTGCGTGTGGGTGTTCAAAGCATAAATGTGTAAATGATTCATTTGAATTTCTCCATGAGCAGGACTCACGTGCTGCCAAAGTTCCATTACTGGTGCTGGCAGACCATCACAGGCTTCACGGGAGTTCTGCTGACGCTGCAGTGCGCGGTCATCTTCGTCTTCGCGTACTTCGCGCGCCGCTATTACTTCAAGCTCTTTTGGTTCACGCACAACACCTACCCTATCTTCTACCTCCTCACCATCCTACACGGTTCTGGGAACCTGGTTCAGGTACGTGTGGCTGGTATGTACCTGGTTCAGGTACGTGTGGCTGCTATGTACCTGAAGAATCGACTGTAGTTTACAAGACTACCATTTTAGCTAAACTATAAAGACTCGCTAAGTGAACGTAAGGTACTTACGCTCTATTTTCTTGTCTATGATTGGTGGATTTTGCTTGAAAGGCCGTCAACGATTGGCTGATGAACTTAACGATTTCTTAAATTTTTTTGAAAGTACCTATAGGTCCTGGTTCAGATACGTGTGGCTGGTATGTACCGTATTATTTCCTATAAGAACTGGATCAGGTACGAATATGACTTGTGAGGTGCGTGGTTGGTGACTTTTTTTTTGCGCTGCCACGTACGTGCGACTTCTGCTTGTTTTATTTATTAAATTGGCAATTGTATCAGATTCACTGCCTGAATCGGTTTGGCTAATAATCCATTATTCAATTAGTAAAGTCTGGGAACCTGGTTCAGGCACGAAAACGGATTCGATTTCAATTAACATTGTTTTTTTTTTGTGAGAGTGTATTCTCCCACCTGTTCTTGGTCCAATAGGCTAAGAGCTAGTGTCTGGGACACAGCTTTTTCGGTTAATGAAATTGTTTGATGAAATCAATCAGTTGTTTAACTTTATTACGTTTGATTGTATGTTGCAATGAGCGTGTGTTTACACCATGGAGAAGGCATTTAATAAGAGCACTCTATTCATCAATGCCTCTAATTTAAGAAGGTCATGCAGGAATTAATGGTATCAACTTGAGCCTTGCTGCTACAGTAATAATCATAGAAGGATTTACGCTTCTCATGAAAACATTCATTTTCTGAAGCCTTATAATATGTAAATTCAATTAACAATATTAAATATTTATATGTTGTATACATCTTTGGAATACCTATGCTCGTGTTATTCGACAATGATCGCACTTATAGAAACGAATAACAATACATTTTTGCCCATATGTGGGTCATCGTGATGCGGTTTGGACCTAATCAGCACTGCATCCACTCGTTGCTTGTGCTGTGGGTAAAAATAATCGGTCACTATTACTACGATATAACCCGTGAATTTTAATTTAATTATTAATTATTTAATTCAAGTTCATTATCCATGTCCCAACAGCCTCCTTTTTTCCACTACTTCTTCCTCGGCCCGGCCATCCTCTTCACTCTGGACAAGCTCGTCTCCACCTCCGTCAACACCGTCAAGATCGACGTCATCGAGGCTCAACATCTCCCGTCCAGTGAGCTCAAATCTAATAGATAGATAAATTTCATAATTCAGATATATTCTGTATGGAGTAAATGAAGTGGAATTAGTGCATGAAGACTGTACGCATTCAACATCTCCTGTCTCGTGAGCCCAAATCTACTAATAGATATATTTCATAATTTAAGTATGATAATTGTAGGGAATAAATACAGTGGAATTAGTGCATAAATACTGTAGTTAGTATATGTCTGTTGAGCCTATGCCCGCATCTTCTTTGTCTTGTTTGAGTTTTATTAGGGCGTGTGAACTGGGCTTGACGACGCCGTCCGGACCAAGCTTCTTGTCGCGCGGCAAAAGTGTTTTCATATTCTAATGGTTCAGGTTCTCTATGTACAGATTCTTGTGTACCTTTTTTTGTTAACTTTCCCAGAACTGCAAAGTAGCTTGTTGAAAATTCCGTTTACTGTGTTTTTTTCTTGGCAAAATATGTGAAGAAAATCTAGAAACGTATACCGCGATGATCACTTTAGTTTAATTTGTACAGTTCCTAATGATTTTATTTAAAAGTTGCAGCTATCAGAGTAGCATTGCTGCTCAGCAGCATATATTTGAATGTGACGTACCGGTAGTATTTTCCACACCTTCATCTTGTCCCATAACAATGTGCTATGAAATCGAAAAGACAATTTGTACCGATTCCTTACGTTTCCTTCTGCTGGCTTCATGGCTGACGTTGTTTGCCTCTTATTAATAAATTTACATCTGTTTGGATAGTTTATATTCTGATTATTCCTATAAAGATTTGTTTTTTTTAATTTAAATTTCATAACTCCATCTCATGCTCGTTATCTGAATTTTCAGACGTGACGCTGTTGAAAATTCGGCGGCCTCCGAACTTTAGTTACCAGGCGGGCCAGTGGATCAGGATCGCTTCGTTGGCCATCAGCGAACAGGTAACACGTTCACTAAATGAGCTTAATTTCTCGTAGAAGATTTGTTGTTCGTAATTAGTTCTGTTGAAATACCATGCTCCAGTAGCGCCACTAACTGCAAGGTTTTCATCGATTACATGTCCCAAATAAATTATGCAATTTTGCACTTTAAGGAGATCAATCAAATGGTGTTTGATCAAGTAATGGGGCTACGTTTTGCTTTGATCCTCGTTGAATAGAAAAATTTTACACCGTTATAATTGTACCAGTGTTGGTACAGATGTAGCTATGTAGTCCAACAAGGTTCAATTAAACCATTGACATGTAAACATCCGTAAAGCAAGTGATTTTTTTTTATTCTAAAAAATATTTGAAGGTCAATTCAATCGTGAAATAAATTCAATCATAAGTGCTATTAAGTTAAAAGCATAAATTAGATCACATTGAAATTTAATTACAGGTCTTGAAGCTTAAGGCTTAGGCAGCAGATTCTTTGTTCAGTAAAACCCGTTCAAGCTTCAAATTTATTTTGATATATGTATAAAAGTCAGGAAATATATCAACTTAAATAATTATTAGCCCAATTGTAATCGGCCAGTTGTACTACGCGTGGAAACTGCAAGTTTATTTTGATATTAGTATGAATGCAATTAAAGATATTAATGCGTTAGAATGCATTGCTATCACTAAATGTATTGGTAGCTCAATTGTAATCTGCCAGTTGTACCACTCGTTATAGCTGCAAGTTTATGTTAATATTAGTATGAATGCAAATGTAGATAATAGTGCGTTAGAATGCATTGCCATCACTAAATGTATTAGTAGCTTAACTGTAATCGTGCACAGGAGTACCACCCGTTCACGCTGTCGTCCGCACCGCACGAGGAGCACCTGACGCTGCACGTGCGCGCCGTGGGGCCCTGGACGTCGCGCCTCAGGAAGGAGTATCCCGACAAGGCCACGGTCTCCCTCAAGAAAGGCTTCCGTTACCCAAAGGTCAGGGGCCATACTTTCAAAATTCGCTAAGTGAACGTAAGCACTTCCGCTCTATTTTCTTGTCTATGATTGGTGGATTTTGCTTGAAAGGCCGTCAACGATTGGCTGATGAACTTATGATCTCTTAACTTTTTTGAAAGTATAGGCCCAGAGCTCCAACTTCTGTTGAGGTTACGTAAATGCTACTCCTTCGACCATATCATGAGAATCTAAACTTATTATTAGCACGAGGCTACACCCTAATCCTAACCACGAAATTAGGACCTTAATTCTACCTCGAAGGATTAAGGTTAGTAATAGCTTAACACTACCTCAAAGCTAAAAGCATATCTCTACTACTAGTCTAGAACTTTTAACACGAAATATTCAAATTCCCATAAATCAGCAGATCTGTGTAGACCCTTTCAAATGCATAATTCACAAACTATATATCTGAAAATACCTCGCATAATTTCTTAATTAATTTAAATTCACTTTGCGCTTAACGAAGGATTTTTGTTATTAGATCTACATTGATGGACCATTCGGAGAAGGTCACCAGACGTGGTGGGACTACGAGATCGCAATTCTGGTGGGAGGAGGCATCGGTGTTACGCCCTTCGCGTCCATCCTCAAGCATATCGCTCACTGCTCCCAACAACCTACCTTCCAAATAAAAACCAAGAGGGTGAGGCTGTATTTTGTATGGAACTTGAAACCTACGAATTGGAGCTTATGACCATCTTAGTATGGAACAGTATATGGTTTTGCAAAATGTTTGCCTTCCTGAAGTAGGTACTTGACAGGATGATAATCCTATGATTTTACTTCCATGGTGCCATTTCCATTCGCATGTTTTCGGTTCGTTTGTGTTCCTCGTTTGTAACCGACAAGATTATCTAAGTTATGTCTTCACCGGTGAGTTCTCAGTTTAATGTTGACGGAATGCAGTATTGTGACACAAATCCGCTTTTCTCGCTCTAATCATTATTCGTGAATTTATAGCCTATCTTAAGGTACAAATATATGTAAGATGTTGCTTCTAAAGATCTTCCTATTGACTTCAAGCACTCATAACCTGGGGCATAATATCAAAAATATTTATGAATTTGCAACTCTGTCAGCTTATTACTGACAGCTTTTCAAGCTAAAACCACCAATTATAGACGAGAAATCGGCCGCTTCGTGTACTTAAACAGGTTTTCATATTACAGGACCCTGAGCGTGACCTAAATTTATCAAGATTATCATTTATTCTTCTCATCTTCGTCATGTACAAATTGGGAAGGAATATTTGCGCGACCGCTACGTTTTTATTCCAATTTTCGTCATGAAAAGTTTATGTTCATAATTATTATTAAGAATTATTAAGAACAATTTCTGCTATTATTTGACGTTGCAGGTGATGTTCCTTTGGGTGACCAACAGCCAGCGTCAATTTGAGTGGCTCACGGAGATCCTCAACGAAGTCGAAGAGCAAGACAACCGAGGCCTCATTAGGAACCACATCTTCATCACACAGTTCAAAAACAAGTTCGACCTCCGGACCATCTTCTTGGTAATTTTTTTCCGCCAGAATCGTGGCTTTAAGAGTTTATTTAATCTGCAGAAATTCATCAATTTTGGAAAGGGAACGGTTAATTTCGATATTAGTTTACGGCGTAGCGGTTGATTGAGGTTCTGGACTCTTCAGTATAAAGCTTTAGGCCGTAAAGTCAATCAAGTACATTTTAAATGTAGAATTATTCTCTAAACTCGAAGCACTTCGAAGTTACCGCAATAAATTCATTGTTAACTCGATTACTGCGGTAACTTCGAAGTGCATCGTAACGTTTTGCCAAATGATTAATTAACCGTCTTAAATGTTATTCTTAGCTAAATGACTGGTAATCTGGATTAATTAACCGTATCCAATGGTCAAGTATGACACTAGGTTCTTTGCTTTGTTACACCAACCGGTTACAGTGATGGAAAATATGTTGATATCTCGTTGAATTCATGATTCAACACGTTCAGGAACAGACTAAATAAAGCTTCGCAGAGGTTAATATACTGTATATTTCGACTAAAAGTGTCTCAAACCTAACCGACCTGGTCAATGTTCAACAACTAAGTACTTAGCTTCAACGTCTAACTTGGATAGATATGATCATGCAAAATATCGTTTTTTTCGAATCCGCAAATCAAGTCAAGAACATCACAATAATCGGCGACTGATCCTATTCTTCAACGGCTACTATATAAATAATTTAACTATGTTGTTTGCAGTACTTGGCAGAGCGCCACTTCCAGCGAGTTTCGGGCACTTCCCTCTTCACGGGACTGAAAGCCATCACGCATTTCTCGAGACCTTCTTTCCCGGCCATCTTCCGAGCTGTAAAGGAGCAGTACAGCTTCGTGAGTTTTTCGTGCTCGCTGTTGATGGGATCAATTACAGTTTTTTAGGTTACTGGTCTACGGAACTTTGCAATGCTGCATAGGGTTGTAAAATTTAACTATGCCTTCAACGCTTTTTTAACAGACTTCATTGCTAGTGGATGTGGTCAAAATTCGTGTTTGTGTGTCTCATCTACTTTATCTGTTTTTAACTGTTGATATTAATTGGTAGATAGCAAATTGCTTTTCAAATAAGTTTTCGTTTGCATGCAACTTCTGCACTAATTAGGGAACTGCTTAATGCAATATATACGTGTTGCACAATATGCCTAAGAATAATTTTTGTCTTTGAAGCTGTTCCATGTTGCTATGTTAATTTTGATACTTTATTCTGACATGTTTGCATGGATAATTAAATTATTTACATTATTTTTCTATTATTTAGCAATATTATTCTCATCGTCATCTTGCCAGGTTTCCTTCAGCTCACACATAGCATTTACTGTAACCTTTGGCATCTTTTTCTTCATTAGCATAGCGACGAACGAGTGATTTATAATAGCCAAAATATATTTCGTTCCGTCGGCTACTTCAATCCATTAAATTTCTTATATTTAATAATTATTTAGGCATCCACAATGCTTCACTCATGTATTCAAGGGACTCAAATCGGTCTTTTAAAAATTTTTGATTACCTATGCATTAAATCGCCTTTCGCTGCCCAGGCCAGCAAAATCGGCGTGTTCACGTGCGGTAATCCGTCGCTGAGCGCCGACGTCGAAACCGCCTGCCGCGACGTCAACGGAGACGACGGTGACGTCATCTTCAAGCACTACTACGAGAACTTCTGAGCTCCTACTTACAGGACCTCAGCACTGACCTAACTTGAGAAGAATTTCAACTACAACTTGACTCGTTATGCCTCAATTCGAACCTAACTCATAGTACTTCAACTCGAACCTCGAACCTAACTCATGGTACTTCAACAACAATTTGTCTCACAAAAACTTGAACGTTATCTGTTTAACAGCATCTCACCTTGTAGTTTAGTATTCTTGTTCTGCTTTTATGTTACTATGTATCTTAATCAAGTTCTTTTATTTTTTGCTTCTCTTAAGTAATTTCTTAAGACAGTTTCTTATCTTACCTGATGGCATATACTAGTAAGCCCAATGCAAGTAGTTGAACTTAATTCTATTTTCTACCACTTCTTAACGAGACAACACGCATTTCCATGCTCATTTGTTAATTAATTTTTTACGAGTTACGATAGGTTGAACTTGACGGCTTCTGATCACGCAAAAGAAAAGCAGTTCTCCCGAGGAATTGAAACATGAAGGCTCTATGGATCTACTGTGGAGCGATATAGAAAATTTATTTCGCTTGACAGACTCGCCTAAACATGCACGGCACTAACATTTTTTTTTTCTTCTCACAGCGTACAAGTTATTAGAAAAGTAGTATAGTATATTCGGTATTGAAGAATAGGCCTGGATAGGCCCGTCGCCGATTTTTGTTTTTCTCTTGACTTTTGATCAAAAAATTTCAACGGACGGTAGGTTTAAAATCATTTCTAGATTTCAGATTAATTTTAAGTTGTTCATATCCTTAGCTTAATATAATGAATCATAAGAGGAATAGCGCAAAATCAATGCAGGCAATAGCTTATGATAATTAAAAAATAGCCCATGTGAAATTTCCTACAGATATCTATTAGTTAAGTTATGACATTGATATTATCTACCAGGGTTTATCAACGAAAACGTTCGATATGAAGCTTTTTCACATGATGAATTAACCTCACGCCAACCTGAGGCAGTCAACTATATTACAGTAAAGCAGTGCACAACTATTAACATTGAAGGCATCATTATTATAAGGCAATTCACTCTAACTTCTAGCTGCTCCATCGTTCAAAATAACGTAACATAAGATTACACGTTTAACTAACATAATAATCGTATTGTCAAATACATTTAAAACCCTCTTCATGTTGCTCTTTAAACTACACGTTTCCGTCATATTTGGTGCTTCTGCCAGTTTAAAGCACGATATAATTGGATGAAAATCCCGTCAATGCTTTGTGAAACTGATTTTATCAAATTCACTTTGTCGAGAGGTTAAAGTATATAATTGCGATTAACAAAAACTAAAATACAATTCTGACAATTTAAATCTGCCTCTTACGGCAATGGCCTGTTAGCTCAGTTGGTTAGAGCGCCGTGCTAATAACGCGGATGTCGTGGGTTCGATCCCCATATGGGCCAGAATTATTTTTTCCTGGGGTTGGCTACTGCACATTTTTACCATACGCAGAAATTTAGGTTATAACCATCCTACATTAACATAGTCGCTTCCGTCTCTGATTTCAAATTTTTTCACTGTTGGAATAGATTCCGAATATCGATCAACTTACTTTCATGCCACTATTACTAATTAACTAAAAAAACTTGGAATTTATATTTGAGAATTTACTTCTAATATATTCGTGTTGGAAAAATTACATTCTAAGGAAATATTGCACACCAAAATGCTCTACTTCATCGTGGACATAAGCAGAGTAGGAAAATTCAATTCAATTTATTCACGCAACGAGGAAATTTCATTGTTATCCTAAGCATTTTACATGAAGGTTCTGCATGCAAAATTCTGTTATTTTCTATGACAATAATATACTATGAATTTCAAACTTATGATTCAACATTGGGAAAGAGGATGATGATTATTTTCTTTCCTTAATACTTTCTATTCTTAGCCATCATGCTTAATCATTCAAGTGCGAAGATATGATTGTATTTAAAAACGGCAAATATGGACGCCATATTTTACTCTAGGACAGTACTTTCACCCAACCATTTCTGCCTTTCTTACGCACGCAAATACAAATAAGCTTCTGTACATATGCTGTCTTACATTTCAATAAAGAACACTTCATTTTAATTAAATTCTCTCGAGTGCAACTCTTTTTTTCCTTACATTCCAACAAATAATGATGATCTCTGTTAAACTTAACCTAGCTTCTCCTTGCATTGCAACAAATAATAATTACTAACTAATTAGAAAACAATAAATTGAGTAATAGTAGAGATAAGGTGGGGTTATCTGCACACGAGGCGCTTGTGTAGGAGCAGCAGACAGCGAGCCATCGCGAGGGAGACGAGTAGCGGCGACAACCGAGTACCTTCTCCTGACGACGCTGCCGGTGCTGCTGCAGCGCGCTTCAAAGATATCTGCAGGCAGATGACATGTTTATGATTTGTAAGCTTACATGATGTTATCGTACCGTGTACCAATGTTTGTAAGCTTACATGATACTATCGTGCCGTGTACCAAGTTTTGTAAGCTTACATGATGCTATCGTACCGTGTACCAAGATTTGTAAGCTTACATGATGCTATAGTACCGTGTACCAATGTTTCATACCGTCAACATGTAGCACCAGTTTAGTGGTTACATGGTTTACTAGCGCTTCAACTAATAAGCTGTTTTGCACCGGAAGTATAGTATGATATCAACACGGTGGAAGCTATCAATTATTGCAAATAACTAAACACGGAAATATTCATTTGTTGAATCAAATTGCCACACGGAGCGGCAAGAAAGGAATTAATAGCATATCACAACTTGGGTTCTCAGCACAAGCGGAAACATGTTCGGAACGAACTGATGCTACGATGTTCGGTTATCTTATAACCACGAATAGAGATTTATCTAAAGGATAATTTCTAACAACGGAATATATTAATGCCTAATTATCTTTTCAAGCCATGGGCTCAAATGAAATGCATCATCTAAATTAAAAAAAATATATTCGATATTTCAGTATCAATCAACAATCATTTTCGTGCTTGTATTATATTGTATTGAGTCGCTGTGCTTGAGATTTCAAGTTCAATTTAAGAAATACAGAGAACAATACCACGTATCACGCTCAAGTTGAGGTAACCTGAGATGAAATTCTTCAAAATCAATGCAATTCTGCTTCACATATAAATTAGTCGGTTGAAGGCATGGAAACAAATGTTCTGACATTTCTTACTGTTGCACCACTCTGAGATCTGAAGATTTATTTCTACAGTTGCAAGTAACGCACCACGGCGCAGACCAGTTAGCTCGATCTGGTCACAGAACTCACCGTGATGGGAGGCGCAGTTCTTAGCTCGGTCTGGTCACAGAACTCACCGTGATGGGAGGCGCAGTTCTTAGCTCGGTCTGGTCACAAAACTCACCGTGATGGGAGGCGCAGTTCTTAGCTCGGTCTGGTTGCTGCTCACGGGCACTTGACACTGGTAGCGGCCTGCGTCTGCCGCTGACACTTCACGTATCTGCTCACAAGCACGTCGTTCAAACACGCCAAGCTCTCAACGACAATCATAATACAACATTTATATAAGCCTTAAATTTATCAATAATTACAATTAATTGTATGTTAAGTTTATAATCACATGATTTTGATTAAAAGACCGTGAAAAAGAAAGGCCGGCTGAAACGCTGGAGGCAGGGATGATGAGGCTGTGAGCTGTCTCCTTCTTAAGATCGAAATAGTATTATTACAGTAGATTTATTCAGTCATTATGCTCAGGTTATTAACGAACGAAAATGCTCAACAAAAAGAATGAAAACAAATAGGTAAATTATCACAGTTTTTTTATTTAACATCAAGGCGATTCGTCACTGACACGATAACTCGACATTTTTGCTCGAAATACCATACATAGATGATAATAATAACATAATAATTAACTGTTAATATCTAGAAATATCGTCTCAGAAAAATCGTGCTCGTGTGTGAAGTAAAACGGAAGAAAACTAATGCCTTCGTGATCGAATCAAAACCTTTACACTTTCTTGTTCCTTAAAACCTTAAGATCTCGAGAGATCTTAAGATCCCCCCGGGTATTCCCCGGAGTGTTTAGGGTCTGTCTCTTATACACATCTTTTATTACGTTTGATTGTATGTTGCAATGAGCGTGTGTTTACACCATGGAGAAGGCATTTAATAAGAGCACTCTATTCNCGGCGTTGAACTAGGATTACCTTGTGTGGACAGTTCTACTTACTAAGCTCTTGTGGATCTAAAATAAATATGTGTACTCAAATTTGATGTCTTATCTAGACATGACAAACCTTGTCAACGTACGGCTCTGAAGCGTTTAGAAGGGATTCAGAAATCACTGTTGAAATACCAAAATGTAGTGATTTCAATTTCATGATGTAAATCATGATGATTGTTGATAAAGATGTATATTATCATAAATGAATATATATTCACAAACTAACATAAATGCTTCCTTCAACGACCCGGTAATATTGCAACCCGTCAATCCTATAACATATGGCATTCGATTCTTTTATGTCGCGCATCGATTCGATTCCGGTTGGAACGATGGAGGCAGGGATGATGGGTCTGTATGCTTCTCAAGATCGAAATAAGAGTATTATAGTACATTTGTTCAGTCATTATGCTCAGGTTATAAACGAACGAAAATGCTCGACAAAAAGAATGAAAACATATAGGTAAATTATTACACAAAGTTTTTATTTAACATTCTCGTGATTCGTCACTTACACGAGAACTCTACATTTTTACTCGAAATACCGTACATACATAACATTAACATAATTAACTGTTAATACTTAATATCTAGAAATATCGTCTCAGAAAAATCGTGCTCGTGTGTGCAGTAAAACGGTAGAAAACTAATGCCTTCGTGATCGGCTTAAAATATTTATACTTTCTTCGATCCTTAAAAATGTAAGGTCTCGAGAGACCTTGATATCACCCGGGAATTATCCCTGAGTGCCTATACGACGGCGCCGTCGTGGACGGCGACTGTTTCAGTTCACCGTCCATTTACGGCACCGAGAAATGAACTGAGCTTACCGGGGCTCGAACCCACGCCTGGCTCATCCATCTCGGTGCCGCCGCCACATGCGCATACAGGGAAGCGACTTTGCCGTCAACCACTGCGCTACAGTGACGCACTTCAAGATAAGTTTGGTGTACATGCAATGCCTCTATGTTGGTTCTCATCTTTACAAATAAAACTAGGGTTATTTTGTGAGTACAGTTCTATTTACCAAGCCATTGTGGATAAAAAAATATATATATATCTATGAACTCAAATTTGAAGTCTTATCTAGACATGACAAAACTAGACAACGGACGGCTCTGAAACGCGAAGAAGGCATTCAGAAATCACCGTTGAAATACCAAAAAGTAGTTATTTCAATTTCATGATGTAAATCATGATGATTGTTGATAAAGATGTATATTATCATAAATATATATTCGCAAACTAACATAAATGCTTCCTTCAAAGACCCGGTAATATTGCAGCCCGTCAATCCTATAACCTATGGCATTCGATTCTTTTATGACGCGCGTCTATCAAATAATTTCATAGCAAATAGTAAAGCTGCTACTCTATTCTCAATTTCTGTCTAAGAGATAAATAGCCGCTCAGAGCTACCCGATACACACACAATACGCGAGACCGGGACAAATCAGCTATTTCAATTTCATGATGTAAATCATGATGATTGTTGATAAAGATGTATATTATCATAAATAAATATATATTCGCAAACTAACATAAATGCTTCCTTCAACGACCCGGTAATATTGCAGTCCGTCAATCCTATAACATATGACATTCTATTCTTTTATTGAATAGGAGTATTATAGGAGTATTATAGTACATTTGTTCAGTCATTATGCCCAGGTTATAAACGAACGAAAATGCTCGACAAAAAGAATGAAAACATATAGGTAAATTATTACACAGAGTTTTTATTTAACATTCTCGTGATTCGTCACTTACACGAGAACTCTACATTTTTACTCGAAAAACCGTACATACATAACATTAACATAATTAACTGTTAAAATCGAGAAACGTCGTCTCAGAAAAATCGTGCTTGTGTGTGCAGTAAAACGGTAGAAAACTAATGCCTTCGTGATCGGATCAAAACATTTACACTTTCTTCGATCCTAAAAAATGTAAGGTCTCGAGAGACCTTGATATCACCCGGGTATTCCACCCTGAGTGATAGGCAAAGGGTATTCACCCTGGTTAGAGGGTCATGCTGAAAGCACTACCTATACCGACGGCGACAAGCGCCGTCGTGGACGGGACTGTTCAGTCGCCGCCCGGGTGACACCGAGAAATTAACTGAGCTTGACAGGGCTCGAACCCACGCCCAGCTCGCCCATCTCGGTGCCGTGCGCCACATGCGCATACAGTGGAGACGGCCGCTAACCACTGCGCTACAGGCGGCGCACTTCATAGTAAGTTTGGTTTACATGCAATGCCTCTATGTTGGTTCTCATCTTAACAAATAAAACTAGAATAGAATAGAAGTGTCGGCGTTGAACTAGGATTACCTTGTGTGGACAGTTCTACTTACTAAGCTCTTGTGGATCTAAAATAAATATCTGTGTACTCAAATTTGATGTCTTATCTAGACATGACAAACCTTGTCAACGTACGGCTCTGAAGCGTTTAGAAGGGATTCAGAAATCACTGTTGAAATACCATAAAGTAGTGATTTCAATTTCATTATGTAAATCATGACATCATTGATAAAGATGTAAATTATCAAAAATAAATTCATATTCACAAACTACCATAAATGCTTTCTTCAACGACACGGTAATATTGCAACCTGCTACCTGGCAATCCTATAACCTATTTCATTCGATTATTTCACGTCGCACGTCTATGAAATAATTTCATAGCAAAATGTAGAGCTGCTACTCTAATATGAACTTCTGCCTAAGAGATAAATAGCCGCGCAGAGCTACCCGATACACAAACGGCGAGACCGAGACAAATCGGCGAGTTCAATAGCACACGCGAGGCTACGACTAAAGGCACCAATACCATCCAGTTTATCGCTAAGAAAGAAGAAGCTATCAAGTTTCTGACCAAGTACCGAGATACGACGTGGCCCAATAGGGCAGGTTGCACCGTCTGGCCAGTCCCTAATTAGGAGGTGTTAAATTTCTTTCGACCGCTCTCACGATTGTAATCTTGAGCACGAGAAAGAAAGTCTTTATTATACCCGCATAAATGATCGGTAAACGTACATCTACGCCCGGTCGAAATTCAAGCTGGACTATCCTAATAACTTAATAAGGATAGCCATAAAACTAGCAAAACGGTAGAAAACTAATGACTTCGTGATCGAATCAAAACCTTTACACTTTCGTCGTTCTTTAAAACCTTAAGATCTCGAGAGACCTTAAGATCCCCCCGGGTAATCACCCAGAGTGTTTAGGGACACACACCCAAGGCCATGCTGAAAGCACCACCTCCCGACGGCGACTATGCGCCGTCCAAGCGACACAGAGAACTTAACTGAGCTTCCCGGGGCTCGAACCCACGCCTAGCTCCTCCATCTCTGTGCCGCCGTCACGTCGTCACATGCGCATACAGTGGAGCCCTAGCCGCTAACCACTGCGCTACAGTGACGCCCGTCGAGCTATAAGTTTTAGCCCGACGTTTAGTTTAGCCCGACGTTTTTAGTTTTTATAAGTTTAGTTTTAGGTGTACATGCAATGTTTCTAGGTTGGTTCTCATCTTCACAAATAAAACTAGGGTTATTTTGTACGTACAGTTCTACTTATTAAGTCCTTGTGGATCTAAAATAAATATCTATGTACTCAAATTTGAGGCCTTATCTAGAAATGACAAACCTAGACAACGTACGGCTCTGAAACGCGGAGAAGGCATTCAGAAATCACTGTTGAAATACCATAAAGTAGTGATTTCAATTTCATTATGTAAATCATGACATCATTGATAAAGATGTAAATTATCAAAAATAAATTCATATTCACAAACTACCATAAATGCTTTCTTCAACGACACGGTAATATTGCAACCTGCTACCTGGCAATCCTATAACCTATTTCATTCGATTATTTCACGTCGCACGTCTATGAAATAATTTCATAGCAAAATGTAGAGCTGCTACTCTAATATGAACTTCTGCCTAAGAGATAAATAGCCGCGCAGAGCTACCCGATACACAAACGGCGAGACCGAGACAAATCGGCGAGTTCAATAGCACACGCGAGGCTACGACTAAAGGCACCAATACCATCCAGTTTATCGCTAAGAAAGAAGAAGCTATCAAGTTTTATATATATATATCTATGAACTCAAATTTGAAGTCTTATCTAGACATGACAAAACTAGACAACGGACGGCTCTGAAACGCGAAGAAGGCATTCAGAAATCACCGTTGAAATACCAAAAAGTAGTGATTTCAATTCCATTATGTACGGTAATTCATGATGACCATCGATAAAGATGTAAATCATCAAAAATAAATATATATTCACAAACTAACATAAATGCTTCATTCAACGACCCGGCAATATTGCAACCTGTCAATCCTATAACCTATGGCATTCGATTCTTTTATGACGCGCGTCTATCAAATAATTTCATAGCAAATAGTAGAGCTGCTACTCTATTCTCAATTTCTGTCTAAGAGATAAATAGCCGCTCAGAGCTACCCGATACACACACAATACGCGAGACCGGGACAAATCAGCGAGTTCAATAGCACACGCGAAGATAGTCAAGATACGACCACAGGCACCAATACCATCCAGTTTATCGCTAAGAAATAATTAAGAAGCTATCAAGTTTCTGACCAAGTACCGAGATACGACGTGGCCCAGTAGGGCAGGTTGCACCGTCTGGCCAGTCCCTAATTAGGAGGTGTTAAATTTCTTTCGACCGCTCTCACGATTGTAATCTTGAGCACGAGAAAGAAAGTCTTTATTATACCCGCATAAATGATCGGTAAACGTACATCTACGCCCGGTCGAAATTCAAGCTGGACTATCCTAATAGGGAGAGCCCTAAAACGAGGTTCTAATTAGACGTTGTGCGCGATCGCAACAACAAAACAAGAAATATTTGCCAGGCGCGTCTTGCTACGATTTCGTCAACAGGTTTATGAAGTGATGTAAATAATGGTCAAGTTACCATAAATGGATTACTGGTACAGTTGAAAACAGGGGGCTTCAGAGAACAGCTGGCGTTCATCATACGATACAAAAATTGCCGTACATATACATGGAAAATGGCATTAAAAACTCACGTACGCCCAATAGAAACGCGCTCATTTTTTCAGGACATATTGAAAAGACAGATTTTCGAAAATCTTTCGAAATTTTTGAACGAAAGATTTCGTTCAAAATCTTTTTTAAACAGATCATGCACCCTTCAGTTTAGGGTAGAGCAAAGAGGTTCAGCTTTATTCTTCCCTTGCTGATCTATAGGGGACGAATTACTCAATTCATTACAACAATAAATTCATGCATCATCAGGTTGCATGAAACTTCAGACTGCAAGTTTCAGGCACGAAGCAGAAACCACATCAACACACGCGCGTTGAACTTCTCTAGACTTTTTACAGTAGGATTGAGCGAAACGAAATGCTACACAATTGTCTTACCAAGCTGTAAATTAAATGATACTAGGTTTGCGCCCGTTCAAAATGAAAAAAAAAAAGTGATCGTTTCCGAAATCGTTTCAAATTTGTATTCGCTAATCAAGAGATACAAATAAAAAAAACTTTCAGCCTAGGATTCGTTCAGAAAGGTTCCACAACTTCGACGAATTTTTTTTTTAATTTATGAAAACGTAATATTTTTGAAAGTTTATATCAATTTACTTTTCTAAATTGGAACGCATATTAACGAAAAGATAAATTTTCAGGAAGTAATTGAGCATGCCTGCAACTAAAATGAGCCCCTATATAGGTATATTAGTAGCCGACTTGTAACGAGACTGCATCACAAACGTTCCTTAAGACGCCTGTTCACGGACGCTCCAACTCCAAGCTCGGCACACTGGGCGAACTGAGGGTAAATTTTGGCAGCAGCGTCTTGCAGGGTAGTGACGTGGCCGAGTCTGTCGAATTCATAGTTAAGAATCTCCATAGACGACTACCGCGGCTGAGCGCGTTGAACGGGCCTCTTAATTGTGTCGTTATAGTGGCAAATTCTGCATTGAATTTTAGCAATAGCCTTACAACATTAATATCGTTCCTACACAAGGTACGCTCCACAAATAATATATGATAAATCATTATTTTGGCTGTACACGTGCTTTCTTATTAAGCAAATCATAAATAAAAATTTTGTCAAAATAAACTATTTAACTATCAAATCGGCCATTAATAACGAATTTTTCATACAAGCTTGACCGGATAACTGAAATTGGCAAAGGTTTGCTAATCATTTTATGTCAATTTCAGCTTTTGTACGTCACAAGAAGACCGCAAATGAATTAAACGTATTGCAAGAAGACGAAGAACAGAACAATGGGTCATAGAATATCAAATGAGATACAAACAATTTTATTACAGCATTTAATCTGCAAGAGTTCATTGATTGATTGTTAAAAGTTAATAGGCTCGATCTATATAACCAATCACAAGGGGTAACTGGGCAAAACAGAGAATTCTAAGAATAGTCGAATAAAGCCTTCAAAAACAGCAATGAGAATGTACAGTTGACACTACACTGTCCATAAAAGAACTCAATGCAGCGTAAAAAATGCAACAATAACCCCAGGGGTGGTCTTTCTATAACTGGAAATCCTCCAGCCATTAAGTAAAAGCAAGCAAAAATATACACAAAGATTCTTTCATACTTCATTTCTGAAATATTTTCCATATCATCTGATAGTTTAAAAATTGCAAAAAATAAGATCAGAACGTTCAGAGAACGTCCAGCTTGAGGTCGTGAGGATCTGACAGGATCAGAGAAGCTTTTTTTTCTGTCGTCCTATGAAGTTTTCATGCAGTCTTACGCTCCGGCAAACTAGACAAAAACTCTCGATTGAAGAACTGCGTACTTCGGCTTGATTGAATTTCCAACACGATTAATGTTCTATTTTTTTCAATGACAAAAGAGAGCTGCACATTCAAAGTTACACGATGGCTTATAAAGTTGACTAATATTTTTCGGATTTAATACATTATTTGAGTCATTTTGGCACTCATACAACATTAAACCAATACGCTGGTTCCCCCACTGTAAATACCATAACAGTCATAATAATAATATAATAAAAATAAAATACAATGCGCAAATTTTACTCGCTTCAGCTCTTTGATATTCAATTAAATCCTTTAAGTTCACCTTCTTCTCTCAATATTAGGCGCCAAATTGTTCACTATTAACTGTTCATCATTATCAAAAATGGCATGGAAATAACACGTGCTCGCTTAGTTTCCATCTACTAAATGGATTCGTTTTGTGAGGATAGAGAACACTCGCCTCATCATTCGTATATCCTTAGAATCGTAAGCCTAGTAGATGAACAAGTTTCACTGACCGCGAGCACGAAGGTGTTGGAGTCGCTCAGTCGTTCAACAGACAGCCTCGGGTCCTCAGCGATGAGGAGGACCCCGTGGGAGATTATCTCGTCGCTGTTGGGTCTCAGAGGGTCAAGTTTCACCCAAATTGCGGGGGCTTCAACTTCCAAGCCCACCTGAGATGGCACAATTAATTAAAACCCACCTGATATATTAAAAAACAAAACCCACCAGTGTCGTGAGTGTAATGAATAACTGCGATATTGAGGTATCTCACATAGGGGTTATATTTTTTATTCGAGGGCTGGATGACTAGAACTAAGACGAATGTTCATCAGATAATAATCTTTCAATACAAGTGAGCACATACGTTTAAGCAAGACTAATCATGGAATGCTGTGGCCGTAGTTGCGTGACCTCCTGAGATATCTGAACGTAATCCTAGTAAACAATGTACGTCATAAAAAATTGGTAATTATCTCTGAATAATTTTAATAGTGGATAACGCTATGAAAATAAAAAAAAAACATTCGGTTAAATTACTTGCATCAATGAAACAAATCGAGTTTTTCACATTAAAAATCGAATAAGCGTGTCTAAGAACATCTAGCACATCAAAAGAAATCAACAAATAGGTTGCTTAAAGACCCTTATAGTAGTCACAATATCAAAGGGAACTGAATCTGTCATCTGTCGTGATAAAACTCGGTGGAAGACTGACGCTTAACATTGTTTTTATACACCACGAACAACGGCCCGGCAAATCATGAAAACTGAGAAGATCGACCATCAGCAGGCGAGAGCGCTTGCTTATATTTTCGGGCGAAAAACGATTAGAGAAACAGGCTTGTCACGCGTCATAAAACTGCAAGTGTCAGAGTTCGTTTAGCTCTCGTGGCACTTATTATCACATACTTTTTACTGTAAATACTATGAAAATCTTCCTCTTTGAAATATAAATTTTTAGCAAGTTGTGGATTAGTGTTTATTAGTATTATTATTAGTGTTCACCTGGCACTCGAGTTGAATGGTGTCGCCCTCGTACACGTCACGCCCGGGGGCCCACGCCACGCTGGGCATCGATGACTCCGGTGCCACACCTGCAAATAAGAAAAATCAAATTATTGAAAATCTGTCGGATTTCAAACTACATAATTACCGTTTAAGAATCAATGAAATTAGAAGCGAGGAATGAACAAAATTTTATTTCAACGCAAGGACATTCTAGACTGACTTTAAGTCGCAGTACTTGTTTTGCATATGTGCGTTTTTTAGATACACGACTTTTCGTCGCGAAAAAAAAGTTCCGTCGGGTTAAATCGTACGCGTTTCTACCTGCACATATGCTATAATGAGAGCTAATTGTCAAATGCCGATCGATAAGTTCTTCAAAATGATATGTAACTAAATTTATTTTTAGTTATTTATCTAAACTAATACAATTTAATTTTTAATCAGATCTCGACCAAGGTTTGAAAAACACACAAGTTTAGTTGTTAACTAATTAGATTTCTTTTGACAACTAATGATTTCAAAGTGAAGCCACGACTTACATTAATACTGATTAATTTCTCTCCAACCCCGATTTGCAGGATCACAAAAACATCAATACAAAATGGCCTTCAACCACCGATCAACCGTTTATTAAAAATTTATGAAAATGATAGTGTTGTTTTCTCGTGGTAACGTGAACGATTTTTTAATTAGTAATGTGAGAAGTCAACCATGGAAACTTGAGCTTCAGTCTTGAAGCCACACACTATTTTAAATAACACTCGGACGTTATTCACCATGCAGACGCTGAACAAAGAAATAGTGTCGTATGTTATAGAATGAGCGGCGCATTAAATCCGTACATGGGCTTCTTAGCGCAATAAAAAGCTCAATGATACCCAACCTATTAGAATGTACCCAAGTCACAAATCACGGATGAAGTTAAAGTTATTTCAATGCGTGTGGCAATAAATTCGTTCTAAAAAAGCCGGGGAGCCGAAGAAGGTAATAAAAAAAGGCAAATAAATAAATTCAGGTTTATCTAAGTCTTAGAGACTTGGATAAACCTGAACAAAAACTTAGCCTTCATAAATTGAAATATTAGGAACGATACCTACATTAGACGGGCACCAACAGAGGCTGATGAAATGTAAAACTCGCACAACAGAGTAGATTTAAATTAACACGATGAAGTTAAGCAAGAATTAGAAATAATTTTTGAATGCAAGAATTAAAATTTGTAGATTCATCTCATTGTGCACCGCCTCGAATTGCGACATAAAGGTATTATTTTCGCAACGTAAATAGATGAAATCGAGTTTCATTAGGGTATGTTAATATGTTAATTAGCTCTGACCATTCTTCCCAGTTCAGAGAAGTTCAAATCGAATGCCATACAAACCTCGCTAATTCAACTTCAGCCAGCTCTTGAAGATGCCTTTTAGTTATTTTAAATAAGGTTTGCTTAGCAGAAGTGGGCACCTTGGCTTAGCTGACTATATTTATAATACCTATCGGTATAGATATGATCCAATTTACGCATCTGTTATGCTTCTCATAATCAATTAAGATTACGCCGTGCGAATAATTGATCATAGATATATTTTTGATTGATGACTTTGATAGCAAATAGCAAGGGCAATAGCATACAACTAAAAAATTTCCGTCGAGATCGTAATAGATTTATCTGATACACAGCACAGAGTGATGAGTGCCGACTAGCCTCAATAATGCAATTAGTATACTATTATACATAATAATCAATTGCAATAGCAGATTTCACGCCTTCTAACTTTAAAAGAAAAAAATGCGTTTTAAATGAATAAATGATAAGCTTATAGATAATGGAGCCGAAGAAGGTAATAAAAAAAGACGAATAATCCCCAGAAGTATCTGAGACTTAGATAAACTTGAACAAAAACATAGCCTTCATAAATTGAAATATTATTAGGAACGATACCTACATTAGACGGGCACCAATAGACGCTGATGAAAAGCAAACTCGTGCAACAGAGTAGACTTGAATTAATACAATGAAGTTAAGCAAGAAAAAAAATAATTTTTGAATGCAAGAATTCAAATTTGTAGATTCATCTCATAGTACAGTCTTGAATTGCGAGATAAATGTACTTCAAGATTCATTTTAGTTAGTTAGTTTTAGGTACTTTAGTAGATTTTCTCAGCAGAAGTGGGTATCAATTGGCTGTATAGCTGACTATATGTATAATAGCTATAGGTAATAGATACGCTCCACTCCACGCATGTGTTCAGCTTTTCAGAATCAATTAAGATTACGCCGTGCGAATAATTGATCATAGATATATATTTGATTGATGAATTAGATAGCAGACAAAATACAACTCAAATAACAGTTTGAGCATGCAATGTGATGCCATCATTGCCAGGACAATAACATACAGCCAAAAAAATTTAAAATTCACATCGAGATCGTAAATAATAAATAGATTCAACTGACACATAAACACAAACGGTATATAGGAGTGATGAGAGCCGTCGAGCCTCAATGCAATTAGTATGTTCTACATAATAATCAATTGCAATAGCAGATTTCACGCCTTCTAACTTTAAAAGAAAAAAATGCGTTTTAAATGAATAAATGATAAGCTTATAGATAATAATGAAGAAAACTTTATGAACGTACTTTAGTTCAGTCGTGCTCTAACTACAACAAAACGTACATATTTATGCTGCATAAAATTGTTGCACGACAAACATGAAAATATATTGAGACCAGATGGCAGAAAAAGCATCAACATCAAGACTAATGTCTGCTAGCAGTACGATTATCCCATAAGGTTGATGCGCCTATTGAAGATAATACCTCAAGGTGCTATACAATATACAGCCAGTCATGGCGTCACAAGATGGTATCACTGAAGTTGACTAAGATGGATGAACAAGTCACAGGTCGAAATTAGAAGTATGGCTGGACTGGACATCGCTAAATGTTCGTAGTGAGCATAAGACGTTGCAATATCTATCAGTCTTAAGCACCTGATAGCAGAAAATCCCCTGAGAATTGATGACCCCCGCAATCATAGACCTCATCGTTTTTCTTAACATTAGGCGCTCTCTGAATGTGTAACTCTTGTATCCTTCAAAAGATCTTCGTTGTTTTAAAGCTTTGAGTCTTCCTAAGCAGCTCAAGTAATCAAATCAGTACACCGACAAGCAAGTTCAACAAACAAAAATTCAGACATATCACTATAAATCGCTATGAGTAGTGACTTAAAGGCTATTTAATGAAGACGAATGAATGACCATCTCAGCTGATGTATTAGACGAATGAATGACCATCTCAGCTGATGTATTCAAGTTGCGGGCAAGGCAAATGCAGCTTATCCTTCTATCCTGAACTTATGCTCACGAATTGCTTAGTTGGATCAAGTGCGAAAGTTTGCTACGGCATTCTTTTTATTTGTTTGATTTTTACCACATTTGCATTCTAATTAAAGAGAGAAATTTCAGAGAAAACTCTTGTTCCTAAACTAAACGATAAGCAATCGCGAGCGCAAATACATTTAAACCAATGACACTCCCAATACACATTCTTGATAAATATGTTTTATTACAAATTAAAGAAAAACGGCTAATTTAAGATGAGGAAAACAATTGAAATCGAATAAACGACGAATCATGAAAATTCGCAAAACACACTTCTTTACGTACTTCTGACTTAACGAGTTAATTGCGACGCATACGTGAGTACGACGTAGCTGCCAATTTCTCGTCTGTGATTGCTGGGTTTACATTGATAAGTCGTCCCTTATTTATTGGCTAACGAGCTATGAACTCATAACTACTTTTGATAGTACAGCCATTGAATTGATATCGAAGGAAAAGGCTCAAATGCCGTTAACTGACATTTTTCTTTGAGTTTACAAGAAAATGGTCTCAAGTCGTGCCGAAAATGCGAATTATTTAAGAAGCGTATAATTTATATTCATCATTTCTGCATACGTAAGTGGCATATAATAATAGTATTAAATACACTTTAGGCAATTCGCTCAAAATGCTTATAAATGATCAGTCAAAATTTTCCCCAACGATATGGTTTCCTACATAAATAAAAACGGACACTTAAAAGTGCAACACTTATTTGTAACAGATAAAGACAAACTTTAAATCATCAATGTTTCGAGAATTTTTTCTATTCAATTTATTACACGTAAACGCCATGTACAAATAACAGAAGAACTTCTTAATTTGTTCGAATTTCACTTAATTATAATGCGTTATACCCGTAGATATTCACAACTTATTGAAAATACGATTAATTTGTGGACACAGACGTGGCTTTTGGCCGCGGGTAAGTCGCGGCAGTGAATCTTTTTTTATTAAGAAAGTCTATAAGACTTTCTTAATAAAATTTATTGAATGTAATAAATTTATTAATTAGAACGAATGCCACTAGATGCGTTTATTAGGCCGTAGGCCTGTCGCCGATTCTTAACATCGCAGAACATTCACAGCATTTTGCGGTCTTGAACTCGCAACTCACTGCTACAATTTTCTGGCCTCCTTGCCGATTCTGACCAGAAACTGGCGCACAGAGCTGGGATCGAACCCACGCCTTTCTGCGCCAATCTTGGTACTCTGAACTTTAACCACTGGGCCACCCTGTAAATCATAGTAAATAATCAAAAGTGTGAAATGGCACGCCGTTTCTTTGCCAAATCTTTCCTGCGCTTTTCCCATTTTATTGAGCATTCGAAAAAGCGTAATGCGTTAGATCATGATATTTACAAGTCAAAATAATAGAAACCTGAAGACGAGCTCACTAAAAACGCATAAAGTGTAACACTCTTTTGTTGTAACCACCGTACACTTGAGATACTGACGGAGAAATGATGATACGTCATAGCACGAGATGGTTCTGTGTATAAATATTTGCTTTGCGCCTGCCACGGCCGCAATAACAGAGCAGTGCTTGGCACTCCCACGAAGAGATACACACGAGGCGGGAGGGTATCTTTTCTGGGCAGCAATGATGCATCATTGTTGGTAAATGCGGCGCGTCTTGAACTTGATGAATTGCAGAGACAGTTGCGCGAGACACAGACGTGGAGAACACTAAAGCAGACAT